AAAGCTTTCATCAAGACTTCCAAGCTATCTCTTGAAGATAAATAGAAAGATAAAGCTGTTCCATTGCAGAGATCTTAAAAACAGCTCAGGACATATGAACATTGTTACTAACTAAATTAACTTTATAATGTGCAAAACAAGGCTGATTCTTTCTAAGCACAGGTAGCTTGATTGTATGTCTTTAAGATGCATTGCTATGGAAATCCAGAAGCTTGTGTATCTGCTACCTAGACATATGTATACCACATAGGGTTTTTGTCTGTTAGCCTATAACTGTTTATTAGCTTGCTCTCTCACATGTTTTCTTGTGATTAAAACATAAGTTTGACACCTAAAAGATCAAGTAGCTGGAAAACAGTGACTTATGCAGTACAATTAATATTTCTTCAAGGACTATAGTAAATCTTTAAAAAAAACCAAACCAACCAAAAGAAAACCCCTTTTTTATCTGTTTAACAGTTTGATACTTTCGGTATGTGTTAGTATCACTTTTGAAAAGTGGAATTTAACTTCCCTCCCCTTCCGTGGAGTTATCATATTGTCACATGACGTTAACAACTGATATGTTAAATAAAATTCAAAACCTAGTTTAGGTCTCAGGTGTTAGAAGGAACTAATTTTGTAGATATTGAACTGTTCTGTTAATTGGTGCTTTAGATCTGTTTAGGACAAACTTGTCCAGTGGTTAATAATTTTAATTCTATACTTTTGGTAGCTGTCTTCTAGCTGCTAATTGCATATTAGTGTAGGAACTTCAATAGCCCACTCTGTGAAGGCCGTATGAATTCCAGCATGGTATTAACAGCACAATACACAGGATTTCCACAGAGGAATTGTATCCAAACTTAATCTTTCAATTTGCACTTAAGTGCCCTTATCACCATTTCCTATTGTAAGATGACTCATGTTTGCACTGTATAACAGGGTACTTGCATCAGTATGTTACATATTTGAAACTCCAGCTGACTTGTAGACACCACCTTTAAAAACCTCTGACAGGTTTTACCATAATGATAATACCATCTTTATTAATGATGACATTTTAATTGGTTTAAGAAAGTGTTCTCTAGTGTTAATTTGTTTAATGTATATCTGGTTGATTAGGGTAAATGCAAAAATAAGCCGTAATATAGCAGTATGTTAGGAAGAATAACAATAGTGTCTTTAGATGACGTTCTTAATGATGTGCTATCCAAAATCTTTGTGAAAACTTTCTCAGTGTTGTGATTGTGATTGTGATCTAATGTGATTTTAATACAAGTGGAAATAACTAGATTTGTGAAATATAAAATGAAAATGTCTTATTTATCAAGAGGACAGTTATAGTATGTTTAGTAGCTCAGATCTTTTCTGTAGTGTCTTACAAACACTTAGGTGTTTTCTTCAAGAGGGCGTTCTGATAGCCTTTCAATTTATGATACCTGTGAATTTGGTCAATGTTCTTTGTGTTTTTCCACCCCTATCCTGGAGTATTGTCCTTATGTTCATTCCTCTTAGGAAGCTGTATTTAGAAGTTGTCCACTCCATATGTGCTGTTGTCCTCAACTTTTCTTGTCTGTTAAAAACTAGCTAGACACAACTACTGCCCTCCTTTATAACTGTATAAAACATAGCTTTCAGTTTATTTTGAAACACTATGCATTTACACAGCATTCTTCACTGCAAAGTAAATTTAAATTGGAGTTGCTAAATGGTTGGTTCAGCAATCACATTGTAAGAAATTTGATTCTGTATTCACCTTCAATAACTAATACCGTGATGTCCATTCAGTATAAGCAGATGGGGTTAATGTTTATCAAGCATCAATTATTGAGCCTGCCATGTATCAACCATAGCAGAAACAAATGTAATTTGGCAGTGTTCTAAGAAACAAAATAAGGAAAAAATCTAGATGCCGTGGGGGCATTCTCAAATTTTTAACATGTGACTTTTTTTTTTTTGCTCTCCATCAATTTCTCTAGTGTAAGTGGATGAGCATTATCTTTTTGGTTGTTTTTGTAAAGGAATTACTAAGTTGTAGAGCATTTAGGATGAGCAAGTGAAGTAAGACTTGTGAAAATAAGTATCTACTTTGTAGAAAAAAGTCTGAGAAGTACAATTAAGGTACAACAGTCTGCTATTCCCATGGGGAGTGGGAGGGAAGAGTATGATGAGTAGGAAATCTGTTTATCTTCAAAAGGAATAACAAGTGGTGTACAAGACAAATGCTTTCTGTGTGCTCCCTTGCTTTCATCTCTTTTTTTCTGGTTCCCATAGTAGCTTCTTGAAGTGTATGAGGAGGAAAAAGAATGGAAAATGGAAATTAATGCTGATAGACCAATAAATAAGCAACTTCCCCCCCGCTCCCCTTCCCCCCGTTTTCTTCCTCCACCAAAGTATTGGATAATACACTTCAGCAAACATAAGTTACTAGGTAGAATTTGGAAAAAACTGGCTGAAATTTTCCATACTATGACGGAAGTTCCCAAACTTTCTCAACAATCAATCCTCAACAATGTGATCTTTGTGATCCTTCTATGGGTTTGTAAACCACTGGCTGTATATGTGAGGGTTACTGGTCCTTGAAGTTGTGCTAATGCAGAAATGCAGTCAAAAAAATAAGTACATTAGTGAACTCTTGAGAATAAGATAAAACTAAGTTGTGTATCAGTATAGCTGGTTACTTTGTGATGTGTGCTAGATTTCCACGTATTGAGACAAATGAAAATACTACCACTTGAATATTCATAAGACATCTTCGCAAAACTTGGCGATTGCTTTACATAAATACCATTGTAGCTGTGATAATTTCAAAATGTCTTACCTTCTAGAGCTATGAAGATGAGAGGAGGAATCGGTCAGAGCTTGAGGTTAGATGCCAGGGCTTAACACTGGAACTGGCTGATACCAAGCGGTTGATTCAGCAAGGTGATTACAGACAAGAGAACTATGATAAAGTAAAATGGTGAGTATCTCTGTTGTCAGGTGTTCTTACTAACATACAAATGTTAATGGATAAACCTCAACCTTGATTGACTAGAGTTTTTCATTTGATTTTTGGCTTATGCACACTACAGATTTTTTTTCTTTACCTCAATCCACTAACGGTTTAATTATTTCCTGTGGTATATTGCAGTTGTAAGATTAACAACATTTTGAAATCTAAGGCATCGAATTATCTTCCTAAAAGTTTATATTTGTAGATTTACTGTGTTTTCAGAAGAGCCTGCCAGTCTCATTGCAACTAAAGTGTGAGCTGATGATGCCAAGCATCTTAGACAAGTACTCTTTTTTTCCTAGTTTAAAAAGCAATAATCTAACAAAAGACCCTGTGCTCTACTGTGTTATGCCTATGCAGTGAATTAAGAGGGTAGGACCTTGGGAATTAATATTTAACTTACAATATCCTTGTAGCCATAAATTTGAAAGGGCTGCTGTAAGAACTCTTTGTCAGAATCTTAGGATTACCTTAGTGAATTGATTTAACTGCAGGAAGTTCCAGTGTCTCTTTTAATTTTTAAAATCCAGGTTTCAGAGTTCTAGCTTGTGGTTTGAATGCCCATCTTGTAACAACAATTGCAAAATAGTGAAAATGGTTTTCTTATAAATACACTTGTAGACATATTCTTCGCAGTCCAGCTTACATCACAAATGGCTTTTTCAGTGTGCTTGCAAGTACAAGAAATCTGGCCTTTAGCACTTTTGTTGGGGAATGGATTAAAAAAATGGGGCTTATGAATAGAAAACACCCTGTCAATCCCTTAGTTGTTCATACTGAATGACCTCGGGCACAGTTACTGACACGAATGACTTTGTCACTCAGTTATTTGAAGGAGGTCTGTCTCCTAAATAACTCTTCACAGCTGTATATGCTAGAGCAACCTTGGCATCTACCTGGAAGCTTGTTGCGAGTAGGATGGATTGATGCTATGGTTTGCTTCCCATATGCAACTGCATCTTAATAAGTGGATTGCAATAACTTTCATGTGAATGGCCCCAGTGTTTAGCAGTGTACATTTAAGAGTCTTGAGTTGAAAAAGGCATGAATGAGCGTGCCAAAACTATATTTGAGAGAGTAGGTTGTATTCATCTGAGTAGGCACAGATGAAGGGGAGAGGAGAGCACTGTTGGCATGACTGCATGAGGATATTTAGGAGCATTGCAGAAGTTAATTGCTTCCAGGCTTGTTTCTGCCTTTAAAAATGCTATGTCAAATCTTCTAGTTCTGGTTATCTCAAGAACTTTTAAAGCAATCCTATGCTTAATGTAAAACTGGTTAGCTTCTTTCCAAACTGCAAGCTCATACTGGCTCTTTCATTTCACTGTTCTGACAGGGTCAGATAAAGGGGAGACACAGAGCTGCTTCTTTGTGCATATGGAAAGCACTCTTATTCAGGACACCAACATAATTTTTGCAGCTGTATCATATATATTTTAAACATGAGGAGAGTAGTACAACCTCCTCTGGTATCAAGGGGCTGCATACAAGGGAGAGTAGGAACTGAGAACAAGTACACATTGCTTTCTGTTTGATTAGGAAGATAGGAATGAAGTTGCTTTAGTTTTTCATCCAACTTCAATGTCTGCAAAAGACTCAAAAAAATGTCATGGGAGGTAACATCAAAAGCTTGATAAAAACTAAAGGAATGGACAAGGGTACTAACAGTTCATTGCTAAGAGGATAAATGTATCACCCAAAATTTACTAAAGAAGAATAATCAGAAGAGGATAAAATAATTTAGGATAGGAATTCAGAATTATTGTATTATAATTTAGGATTGATTTTTAAATACTTAGAAATGAAGAAAATTCTTTCCTGTAACAAGTTACTGTTGCGGGTGTTAATAACTAAAAAAGGTAAGATTATCACTAATTGCCCTAAGGGTGACTGGTTGGAAGAAGTCAATGTCATGAACTGAAAGAAGTCTGAGAAATTGCAAATACACAGGAAACTTGTTCATTACACTTTATGCATCTAAAAGTTTCACTTTACTTAACAGTGAACGCGATGCATTTGGACATGAATTGTCAGAACTCAGAAGAAAATATGAAATATTAGAGGTGTCACACAAAGCACAAGCTAAAGAAAGAAATGATTTATCAAAAGAGGTAAGCAAGTTCTTATTTCAGTAATTGTCGTCTTCTTTACCTCAGGAATTTGTTTTTGTCTAATCAAGTCTGTCGGGATCACCTGTAGGACTACAGAATAATTTAAATAGGAATGATCCTCAGGAGACCAGCTGGTCCAGCCCTCCCGTGTTGTGCAGAACCAACTTAGGTCAGGCTGCTTAAGGCTTTGTCAAGTTTTGAATAGATGGAGATTACTCTCTCCCACACCACTTTCTTCTTGGAGTAGTAAAGAAAAGTGATCTGGTGATGGGAAGGCTATTACAGAGACTCACAAGATATTTGTTTCTACTTTGACCTCAGTTCAGCCTTTTGTAGCAACACTGTGCTAAATGAATATCAAAACAAGGCATGCATAACCCTCGTTGTCCTTGGTGCTGGCCTGGAACGTTACCTTGTCCATGATAGTCATGATCTACTTCAGCCCCAGAACTAGCAGTTGAACCATTTCTTTACGAAGCAATAATCACTCTGGTGCCTTTAGCATTTTGCTTCTGTTTCTGAGAATGTTGCAGCCAGTATGATGACAGGCTGGTACCAAGACTTGACATCAGTATTTCTGACATAGTGATACTCAGATCTATCACTATGCAACACTTAAATGCTATTTAGATACTGAGGTTGAATAAGGGACACTACTTCTTTTGTAGGTTCCAACTACCAGAAATAAGTAATGAAAACTCATAATTTTATTGATTATTATATATTATTGATAATTTTACGCTTTTTTAAGCATAAAGCTTTACTAATTCACATTAAACCTAAATGTAAATAGCGTTCTTTGGTTCAGGTGATTTCACAGAACAGAGTTAAAATGAAATTGCAAATATGTGTACATAGGTTAAATACTTATCTTGAAGTTCATGTTAAAGTGTTCTTTTTAATGCCTTCTATAGCTGGCAAACATACAACAATCCCTCAACTTGTTGCAAAAAGATAAAGATTATCTTAATCGCCAGAACATGGAGCTTAGTGTTCGCCGTGCACATGAAGAAGATCGTCTTGAAAGACTTCAGATTCAGCTAGAGGATGCCAAAAAAGCTAGGGAAGAAATGTATGAAAAGTATATTTCATCCAGGTAAGTTATTGAACTGTTTTTCCTTGTTTCTTGTGCAAATCATATTTAATGAAAACTAATTTTAACTTTCAGAAAGGTAGTCCATATTTGTGTAACTAGAAACAGGACACTTCTCTTTGGTCTTAATGTGTATTGGGAATTGTTTTTTAAACCTTATTGATATAAGACCAGAGTAATGAAGATGTCAGCATTGAATGTTTATGGCAACTATTGTCTTAGGTGTATATAGAAATTTACGGAGAATTTCTATATAGTTTATGTAGAAATTAATTACAAAACAGAGAAAAAATGCTTTAAAGTGTATATGTTACATATCTTACCCCTCCCCCCCACCTCAAATAACCTTTATTAAAAACAGGAGTATTTGAAAGACAATCTAAATGAATATTGCAGGATAAAATAGATTTAATTTTCACAAATGTTTTAAATAGGACATAATATGTTTCATATCAGCTGTTAGAGCTATTGGTCTTTCATATCTCAAGTTTGAACACAGATTCTCTAAATGTAGCCTTGAGAAATAAATTGATCACTGCGTGCTAGCCACAATGGTAAATAGTGCCCAAGTCCATATGCTGTTTGAGTTGATATAGGTATATGTAGGATGTTGAACAGGAAACACTAGGCTCTTCAGCTCTATGTCTTGCTGCAAATGTAATGCTATGCTACAAAATATTATAGAATCATAGAATATCTCAAGTGGGAAGGGACCCATAAGGCTTATTTGAGACCAACTCCCTCTTCCTTGTAGGACTACCTAAAACTAAATTGTATGACTAAGAGCTTCATCCAATTTCAAACCGCATTTAGGTTTTTCTTATTCAGAATTCAAGGTTATCCAGTTCATG